CGATTAACATTAACTTATGTAGGTGGAATGAAATGAGAACACACAGATATATTATACATAATATTTCCGAATAATTTTGATTATTGTCCTGGAAATGTTGGCGTTTCATTTAACGAAATTAGATTGCAATATAAAGAGAAAAAAGAGAAAGATGAGAAATAAAAAAAAGAGAGATTACGAGACTCTTCCATCTAATGCAATTAAAACCTTTCCAGCGATAACCTAATCTCTTTTTTTTGTGGTATACATTTCTTGAGAAAATAATACTTCATATATATATATATCTAAAACAAATTAAAAAATATTAGAAATGTCCTCGTAACAAATTTATTATCTTACACGTAGTTGTTATATTTCTCTCTCTTGTTTTTTAAGTATACAAAATTTCGCAATCCCTCGAGTGCAGTTATAAATACCGCGAAGTATCGTCCTGCCCAAAAAAGGAAATCAAAACGAAAAGAGGAGAGAAGTGGAGTTTAAATATTAATTTTTAACAAAGTAAATTTGTGTTGAAAAATGTTCAGAATAATTTGAACAAAATTACACAAACATTAGTTCCTGTTATTTTTTTTCTTTTTCTTATTAGCAAATAGATAATATTACATATTACGGGAATAAATTATTATCGTGGAATATATATAATAGAAATAAGAAAAATGAAAAGAATAATTTCGTAGTAAAATCAACAAAATTAGAATCTTTTTCTCTCTCTCTCTCTCTCTCTCTCTCTCTCTCTCTCTCTCTCTCTCTTTTTTCTCGTTCTCTTTGTAGATTAACAGAAAACGTTCATATTGAGGCCTTGATTTCTCATTAACTCTTCCTTTGCTTGATAAACTGAGAGATGACGATACGTAAATAGATCTTACCACGTTCTTTCTTGGAATTGAAAACATATGTATATTGTATAAAGAGAAAAGAACATACATATGTCGTAATAATAACGCGTATGCGAAATAAGAAACGGAAAAGGGTCGGTCTCACGCATGAATCCTGTTTTTAATGTCGTCGAACTTTCTTATATCGAAGGCTTATGCGAGACGATTATTTTAAAGTATTTAGGTTATCGCTTTGTTACTCCTATCAAAAGTCATGTCGACAGATTTATTATCTTTAGCTATGTTGACCCAAGAATCGTTCGTAAGATCGTTAACTTCGATCTTTCAATTCTTTCGTTTAACAAAATATATTCTTTTTTTAAATAACTATCATATAGAGACTAGCGGTAAATTTAAAAAATCGATTTACTCGTTTCTTATTTTATATATTTTTCTAAATAAAAAGAAATTGTAATTTGAAAGTATTCATTCTGTATAATATCTCATATTTTTTTCATTTTTATTATTTATAATTGATTGGGGATCAATTTTAAAATGTATTCATATATTAAAAAAGAAAGAAAGAATGAAGGAAGGAAGGAAGGAAGGAAGGAAGGAAGGAAGGAAGGAAGAAAGGAAGTTGCTAACTTTACAAAATGGTTCTGGTAATTGAGAAAAAAATCAAGATGACGTTTGAATCGATTAATAAATGAGACTCAATGTGTCTGATTAATTCCAATGTACTCTCGAGGATATATGTACTATAGCATACGTACCATTTAATAATAATAAGACTCGTAAACGCGCACAGTTACGCACTTATCGATCGATCATTTGTCGCAGGGATCGCAATGCGGACGACGAAGCTGCAGCTGCTCTTCCTTGGGTTGCTTTTAGTGGCTCTTGTAACAAATGTTTCTGCACGACGGGTTAGTAAACTATAACTTGATATATTTCAATTTAATTAGAGAAATAAAAATATCTTTTTAATATTTCGAAATTATCTTTTTTTCTTTCTTTTACTTTTTTGATCGTTGTAAATATATCCCTAGAATTGAGATAAATAAATTAATAAATATAATTATATTTTATAACACAATGATTTTTTTTAGCATATAAGGAAACATCGAACAACGACCGAACCATCGCTTCAGGATGAAGTAATTAACATGCTAGAAGCTGACGAGATTGCGGAAAATGATAACAAAGATGCTGAAGTTAACTTCGAAAATGCTAATAACGAGCTTGCAGCGAAGAAGCAACGTTTGATCGAAGTTGATCCTTGCATGGATAAACATTGTAGTGCTGGACGAGTTTGTAAGGTCAGTTCCTAAAAATTATAATTATTTAATAGTTAGAATGAACGTTTTTAAATGTTTGGAATTACAGAACAGGTGTCTAATATTTTTAAATCATTTGTAGTCAACCGAAGATGGCGTAGCCGAATGTGTTTGCATTGAATTTTGTGATGAGGAAGTTGATCCTCGTCGTAAGGTCTGCACAAATTACAATGAAACTTTTGGCAGCGATTGCGAGGTCTATCAAGCACGTTGTTTCTGTAGTACTGATGATCCCAGGTGTAGAGGTTCTAAATATCAGCACGTTCATATTAAATATTATGGGGAATGCAAACAGATGCCTGTGAGTATAATTAAAACTAATTTATTAATCTTTGTTTAGTAATTTGATTTAAAAATAACATCAAAAATATTATTTAGTATCGTCCGTGACTAGTCGTAGTCATTGGTATCGATTTTTTTTAACTCATATGTTGGATTTTGCGTTGCTGTTATTCAGACCTGCAAGGAAGAGGATATGGCAGATTTTCCGAGGCGTATGCGCGATTGGTTGTTCAACATAATGCGTGATTTAGCTGATCGTCAAGAGCTACCATCGCACTACTTGAAAATGCAACGCGAAGCTGAAACTAACTTGACACTGCGCTGGACAAATGCAGCCATTTGGAAGTGGTGTGACCTCGATGGTCATCCACACGATAGGAAAGTTTCCAGGCACGAACTTTTCCCTATTGAAGGACACTTAATGGCTTTGGAACATTGCATAGCGCCATTCTTCGATTCTTGCGATGCCGATAACGATCACATGATTAGTCTCACCGAATGGGGCAAATGTTTACAGTTGGATGAGGTAAATGATCAATTAGAAATTTTGTATAATCTTATTTCATTTGGCAATTCAACTAGTAAATTAAGTTTAGCTGAAAGTTACCATTACAAAATACAATCTAATCGTACTCTTAATCCTGAAAATATCCCTGCAAGATGCTTTAAAAAGGAAGTAAAGTTTCTTGTATTATTTCTTCGAATAAATTGATAATACAAAATAGTAAAGAGGTAGAATAAAAATTCGAGAAAGAAATGTTTCATAATTATTTATAATATCGTATGCATATATGCACATTTATTATTATTAATTTAATTTTTTTATTATAGGACGATATCGATGACAAATGTGACGAGCTAGCTGAGGCTAACAGCAATCTATACTAAATAATTTCGAGGATAAATATACATATGCATACATATATATAGTACATATAACAAATAATGGCGGATGTATCTGCTGGACGGATCGAACGATAGGACCAACGATAAATTCGCGAGAAAGAACCTTTGTATTGTCTACGTAATAGTCCCTTGTAGTAGTAATAGCCGTAATAATAGTAGTAATAATATAATAACGATAAGAAGAATGGTGGGGGATGATAGAGGAGGAAAATGGCGGGAAAAATTGGAACGCGAGGCTTTGCGGATTTGTTAACGCGCATGTCCCATGTAACAGACTACTCGTCGATATCGTGACCCATCGTATAAATGCTCCTGTGCTATTTGCAATTTTCAACAGTCTCGTTTTAATCCTTGCTCGTGTTATTCTCATCGATCGAAGCCCCCGCTAAGGCCAATCAATTTTCTATCAAATGTTTTTTTTTTAATACAAATTTAACGATTTTAACGTCATAGAAATTCTAAACCATTAATTAGTTTATTAGATAATAAATATTACTCATTTTTTGTTTTTCTATAGAACCGTAAAATCAAGTTTTATTACTAATTACTGAACTTTTATTTTGTTCGTTAAAATTTATCACTCGATGATTAGAGTTTATATAGATTTTTATATATATACATATATAAAAATTTATGGTAGATAATGCACGAATAAAAAAATCGGTCCTTTAAATTCGAAACGTCCTCTTCAATACAGCGCCACGGATCGCTTTAGAATTAATTTTATTCGTATTTGAACCCAATCGCGATATACAATTATAAGTTCAATCATCTATTTCGATTCTCCCCCATTTATCGTTATTTAATCCCAGTAATATTATTACTTAGAATACTTTAATATATACATATTATATACATATATAAGTGTATTCTTGTATATTGTGAAGTATTTTGTGCTACTGCCTTTTTACTCTTCAATAAAAATTCTTAAGACATTTTTATTATATTTATTCTTATCATAATTTCTCAAAATTATTTAAGAACGTTTTATAATGACCTTGTTTGTTCGGTTATATATTTCTCAAGGAAAATAATGTTTAATATTAGCTTTTATCATTTCTCAAAGGAATATATATATATATATATATATATAGATATTCACAAAGTATTTAAATTCATATCCCAATTAATAATATTATCAATATCGTTTATTTATTATGGAAAAATATAAAGAAAGAATAAAAAGGGTGAGGGCCACCAGTTGCGTTCCACCCGCCATCATAAAAAAGGATAAATATAAAAGAAAGAAAAATAAAAGAAGAAGAAGAAACAAGATAACACCAAACAAGAGAGAAAGAAAAAGAAAGTGAGAAAGAGAGAGAGAGAGAGAGAGAGAGAGAGAGAGAGAGAGAGAGAAATATATGTACAATAAAGAATCAGATCGAGAAGTTCTCGAAGTTTCGAGATGATAAATAAAAAGCAATTATTTGACTCATACGAGTATTCTAGAAAGAAATAAACATAAGTAATCATATAAAATAAATAATTCGCATTCTAGTTTGATTGAAAAGAACGCGTCGTTGATTCTCTTACACATTTAACGTGTTCTTCTGTCTCTTATAGACCGTGGTTCGAGATTCGACCGCTTGTATCGCGACGATTGCGTCGTTAACAGGCCGTGATTGGTCGAGAGTTGTCACGTGATCAGACCGCGGGACGAAGCAGCAGCGCCAAGCGTATTTGGCGGGATCGTGCTTAGACGGCGTCGTCTGTGCTCCCCGCAAGTCTGTCGTGTAGCGAACTGCAAAGGTACTGCTAGAATAATGGTGAGTAATCCGCAAGTTTTTACCGGTTCCTTCAGGCATCCGTCAACGTTATACATACCATCGTGTTCTATGGACTTTCGATTATCGACTGACGAGATTTCGTTCTTCTATCGCTTAAATTAATCGTGATTTTCGTCTGTGAACAGGCTGGTGGAAAGGCGGGCAAGGATTCGGGCAAAGCAAAGGCAAAGGCGGTCTCTCGTTCTGCGAGGGCCGGCTTGCAGGTGAGTTCATTATACAATTTGTTACATATTTAATATTAACATACATTACAACAATTTTTGAATTGCCATACAATTTTTTTCACTTATTTCAATTGTAAAAGTTCATAGCGGTCTTTACAGGTTAAACAGTCGTAGTTGGCGCGAAGTAAAACCAATCGTCCACTCTTTTATTGTTACTGACAAAGGGATATTTTTTCTTATATTATCGAGCTTGCGCTTTTAACGTTTAACCGTTATTTCGGTTCTACATAATATATTTAAACCATTGAACGATCAAAATAATCGATAAGTCGATTGAAAAATATTTCATTTTTTGAATTGAATTCTCTCGACAAAAGTGCATACTAGCTTACTCGGTTTGAAATGAACGAGTCGTCGGATGGGGACCATTTACACCACAACCAACCCCCTCCAACCCCCTTTCAATCTCTCTTTCTCTTTCTATCCCCTATCCCCCCACTTTGATCGCCGGGCCTTTCAATTCGGTCGTCCATCGGACTCTTTGAATATTTTATGTCCTTTCGAAACTTCTACGGTAATTTGAAGTGTTTTAACGACCAATGTTAATGTGGTTATAGTATTAATATCATCTTCGAGAAAGAACAACACATTTTCTATATTTTGTTTTTTTATCATACAAAAATCGTGTATTATCGCGAAATTGTATCGAAGATCGAATACAAATAAATGTCGTTTCGATCGTTTTTTTCCTTCGTGTTTTGATTTAATTACACACGTATACACACCACACATATGCGACGTCATATGACTCGTTAGAAGAATTTCATGAGATGAGATAAAAGAAAGATTATTAGATAAATAGATAAATTAATTAAAAAATTAGTAAAAACAGGAAGAAGAATAAAAAAGTGAGTAAATAGAAAAAATTATTATTTGAAACGAAATGTGCGTGTTACGCGATGTTACGTTATAATAGATTCGTTTTAGAGGTTAACCAAAAAATATGGACACTGTGTGTGTATGTATATATATATATGTATGTATGTACGTGACGAGGAATAAGAAGGTTTTTAACTTCGTTATTTAATGTGTGTACAGCGCGTGTTAAGTGATACGACGAGTTTGTATATATATATATATATGTTCACGTTCGTGTGTATGTGTATCTCGTAAGAAATAAAACGTTGGGAAGTGTACAGACCAGATACAAGGATAAAGTCTAATATAAGTTTATCGAGCATAATCGATGTATAACATATTAAACATATAAGGGAAGTTTAAGGGCGTTAACATGTTTCGTTGAATGATGAAACGAATCTGGCAGAAAGCTGGGAAACCTTCGGGAAAGCCGAATAATCTTCCATCGCGTGCCGCTCGATATTCGTCCCGTTTGTGAGAATGTACGTGTCCATGTGCGTGTGTCTGTGTTTGTAGTGTAGGCGTACATGCGTATATGTCGTATTACTGTGGTGTGTATGTGGACCCAGACTCTGTGAAAGATGAAATATAGAGAGAGAGCAATCATTGCAATGTATATTTTCTCTCTCTATCTTTCTCACTCCATTAGCACAGTCATTTTCGTATTTTCTGAAAATATTCTTGTGTTAGATGTATGTATAAATCGCATATATATACACACACCGCACATACAAAGACATAAATCACGCATACTTCTGCGTGCCAAATAAAGACACATTTCTTAATTAACTTTAGTTTTTCGGTATATTAAATAATTAGACGATTAGTTGACCATGTAAATTATATTATTCGATTTCTTTTTCTAACGACACGAAAAAGCTGCTGACGCGTTATGTTGGGAGAGAGGTCGATGTTATTTCAACGGATAATAGGAACAAGTTACGATATATATTTACCGTCCTAAAAATATTTCTTTCTTTTGTCATCGGAGAATACACGATTATAATACATTCTCTTTCTTTTTATCATTGTTTCTTTATCTCTATCTATTTCTTTCTTTATCTCTATCTCTTTTTTTTTTTAGAAGTGATAATTTATTTAGGTTAGAAAAAAGAGAGTGTGTGAGTGTATCGTATAGAAATGTGTTAGCGAAGGATGAGATTTATTATTGTTATTATTATTCTTATAATTTAAGTTAGTATATATCCGATTATTTGGTTTCAGTTTCCTGTAGGTAGAATACATCGGCATTTGAAAAACAGGACTACCAGTCATGGTCGGGTTGGTGCAACGGCTGCAGTATACAGCGCAGCTATCTTAGAATATCTGACAGCCGAGGTGAGTTGGGTTGGTGCAAGAGAGAGCAGAGATATCGTGTTGAGAAGCCGAGGGTCAGAGCTTTTGCTGTATGTGTGTATATGTGCGTTGGGTTGACTTCACTAGTTATATATATATATATATGTGTGTGTGACTTATACATAATATGAATACTATATACATGGAAGCGTGACGCCAGAATAACGTGTAAACGTAGTTAGGAAAGTGACCACTAGTGTCACTAATATTAAGCTCACGTGGGGTATCATGGCGGACTTTTCCCGCCATTATTTAGAAAAGTAATGTTTGATGTATTTGAAATGATTGATGTTAGTTCTTATAAATTTAGTGTGAAGTTATGTATTGTTTAAATTATAAGATTTATTGAAATATTTGATAATTATTGGCCAAGCTAATATTTTGTTTTTATTGTTAGGTCTTAGAATTAGCAGGAAATGCTTCTAAGGATTTGAAAGTTAAACGTATTACTCCAAGACATTTACAACTTGCCATTCGAGGTGACGAAGAGTTAGACAGTCTGATTAAAGCTACCATCGCAGGAGGAGGTAAGTTATTATATCTTTGTATCGAATATACAGTGTGTCTGAATTTTTTCGGTCTAACGGTGTCAGCATATTTTATACACGAAAAGGAGAAAAAAATATTCACCCTAGACACCTGTATATATATTTAATTTATGTATATAATATCATTAATCGTAATGATTTTCTTCTCGCAGGTGTTATTCCACATATCCATAAATCACTGATTGGCAAGAAAGGTTCTCAGAAGCCAGCATAATTTAGTGATGATTGAAGAACTATCTTGAGAGATAAGTAGACAAAACAGAGATGTAAAGTGACAGTGACTGTTGACAAAGTGTACCTACGTTATTAAACTAAATAGAGAGACTGGAGTGATAACATATGTATATGGATACATATCTACATATATATATATATATATATATATATATATATATATANATATATATATATATATTTATTTATGCGTACATATATATATGATGTGAAACAAATATTGATATAATTTAACATAGATAACGAAGAGCTAATGGAAAGACAAACGTTAAAAGCGTAATTTGTGACGATTAAGGAATAGAAAGGTGATTTTGTTAGAGATGATGATGATGATGAAGATGATGATGATGATGATGATGATGATGATGATGATGACGATGACGATGACGATGACGATGATAACGAAGAAAAATTCCTAATGTGCATATAACGTGGCGATTTAATCTATGAGCAATGTGTTATAGCATCGCTCGCACGAAACAATTAAGGTTTCTTGCTTCGCCGATAATGTATATTTTAAATGAAAGGTTAAAACGCTTGATTGTTAATTCACAGCATCTCATTTACTTTCTTTACATAGATAGCTTACGTTATTATGTAATATAAAAGTTCTTTTTCGTTTTTACTTTCGACTCGTGCCACCCTTAACCAAATTCATGTTTTTTATATTAATATACTTTGTTTCTTTCTTTTTTCTTTATTTTTTTTTCCAAGTTTCCCTTCTTCCCTTTTATTTTCAAATCATCGACGAATATTTAAGCGTCGTTCGGCAATCATTCATTTTTAATAGTATGTGTGTATTATTTTCAAAATTGTCTGAATAATAGTCATTTTCAATCTCAGAATAAAAAGATTTCAATCGAAGTCGCATATTGTGTAATAATAAATCTTATGTACACCTAAGTCTTTGTAGGTACTATAGTAATTAATGAGAGATTGCATGAGAATATATATATATATTATACCAATTGTCATTGGAGAGAAAGAGGAAAAGAGCGAGAAAACAGATTATAATAAGATAGGAACGATTATAACAAAATTTTATATAATTTTAATTTAATTTTATTTTCCTTAAAAATTTTCATATTAAAGAGTCTACTTTGAGTTATAAATTTCTTCATTATGTCATCATCATTTTAATTTTTCTGATCTCTTGAAAATTTGTTTATCAAGTTAAAAAGTTCGTTCTAATTTTCATTTATTTAAAGATTACATATTTTTTTTTAGTATATATTGTATTTATATCGGTCTCTCGGATTGAATATTTATATACAATATCAATAATTGTAAAATCGGAACCTTTAAAAAGTTATCTTGTGAATATTCATTATCTCAGTTGCAAAAAATTCTTTAAAAAAGGGATGTTTCTAAGAAAATGTCTATACAAAGTGATGATAAAATAATGACATATTTTCTTTTCATTTTTTAATCACATCTTAGTTACTTGGGATTAATTCGATTTGAGAAGAGAATTGGATTTGTGTTTATCATAATTTGTATTACTTGATAGTAATCTATTATTATTAATTATTATTATAATTAATAATAATTTTTTTATTAATCAATATTAATTATTATTATTAANAATTATAATTAATTAAAAGAAAAATCAAAGAAATGGAAAGATATACGACGAAAAATGGTATCGTAAAGCGTAAACACAATTAATCAATATTAATTATTATTATTAATTATTATTATTATTATTATTATTATTATTATTATTATTATCATAATCATAATCATAATTCCGCAAAAAAAACGTAATTATGTATGATTTTGTGTAATCTCTATACATACTGTACCTAAAACGTACGTTGAGAATGAACAGCCATGTAAATCTTCATTAATCATAATAAAGATGAATTTTACTATTAATTGTCTATTTTATACATTTTCAGATATTCAGCAGATGGAAAAGTCTCTTAATATTATAGAATTATTTGAAGATTAAGAGTAAACTACAAATGCAGTTGAATAACTATTGCAATTTGACACAAGTGTATTTTATAATGGATCAGAAGATTTAAAATAAATAAAACATCTATTAAAGTTTAGTAGTTAATTTAATATAATATGTACGTGCATTACTAGTATTATATTCGTGATTATACTTTTTATTTGTAGAAAAGAATAATCCATTTCCAAGTTCAAACAATCATAATTAATAAATCCAAATAGTTATAATAGAAAGAAATATATTTTATATATATTAATTAATTTATTAATTTAATAAAAATTTTTTAACATAATTGTATTTTTATTTTCTTTGATAGAAATTTAGGAATCATCTCTGTAAAGTACCGGCCTTCAAAATGAATCCAAATAATTATAAGAAAGTATTTTTAATTAATTAAATATTATATTAATTTATTACTAATTGAAAATATTTTTGTAACATTAGTATTAATTGTTTTTAGATAGATTTGAGAACCGCTAGTGCGAAAAATGAAAAAAATGTGGAAGGAGAACCTCTGATGTTTCGGTATATTCACGAAGATATGTGAAGTGCTGCCACTGGTGCCGGCAGATAGGGAGCGGTCGATTGACCAATCCGATGCATCATCCCCGCCAAGCAGTTAGACCAATCGCGTGGCTTGTAACGGTAGGCGCGCTCTCCCAGTAGCGAAGGGCGATCAGAACCGCGGTCGCCTTTCACGAGTACGGTTGCATGGGTAATAAACGTTCGTATGTCGTGTGTGCCTTGCGAATAGTCAAAGTTGTGGACTCTAGTGCACTCCGGTCGTGTACGGTAAATAACATTTAATAACTCGTTGAAAAAAGACCCTGTATTATAATACTCAAACAAATTTTTTTCGATTAAGTAAACGATAAATATTTTGTATAAATAATACATACGCAGGTGCACGTTATTCGAATGCCGGCTGTAAACGATTGCGTGAATATACACTTGTAGTATATACAACATATACATAACTCAAGCTGTTCCTCCACACTCGTGTTTAACTACTTCGGTAACACATTGTCGAGAATATTTATACTCATTCGTTAATCCTTTTTCACGAGCATTATTACCGTGAATTAAACCATCGTATTTATCAAATTCGCGAGTGAAATTATAATATAACGAAAAATTCTTCTACATTGTAGTGTGAGACTTTCGCCTTTGCCGGTTTTCACCTTTTGCGAGAGCATGATCCTTTCTTTTTCTGCGCCTGTGCTATAACCAGCAAGTGAACAAGAAAAAGAGGGAGAAGGTGTAAGAGAAGAAGAGACAGAGGAGAGGAACAACGCACGCACGCGGGTACCATCACACGTTTTTTTTCTAACCGGAACTATTTCCCTCTCTTCAAGGACAACCACCCATCGCAGGACAGACAGTTTTGTTCTTCACGTCTAACTACTCCTACGATATGATAATATCACTCGTGTAGCTAGCTTATCCTGTCATGATCTTTATTGGAGATTTTTCGAGGATGACGAGAGGACGATTCGAAGTATTTGACGTTAGTCAGAGGTGAGTCAAAATTCTTTTGGTTTTTTCTTGTTCGAATTTACCGCGCGATTTATCCATAAGATATTTCGATAATTCACGTTTTTCAGGATATCGATACGAACTATCGATCACTTCATAATTACTTCGATGTATTTATTAACCTCATTAAATGTATTGACGTTATATTTATATACGTTTGTATTTATTTTTTGTTTTGTTTTTTATACCTACAAGTATGTAATAAGTTTGAAGTCTAGCTAAGTGTCATGGCGGATACACCGATCATCTATTATTTCAACAAATAAAAATTGCATAAACTTTTTTATTTCAAAATCTTTTAGTAGCGATCAAGATCAACATAAACAAATGTATGTTTTTTTTCTCCCTCCCACACAGCAATATTTTTGTGTTTATACGTTCAATGTTTTCTTTCTTTTTTTTCGGTATTCGTAGCTTTATAGATGGAGTTACGTCATCCATTTTCTCGAATTAACGGTATACATATAACTACACACTAGTTGCTTCGTAGTCCAACGAACCTGTACATGGGATAATGAGAGAATATACGGGTTACGAAGTTAGGCTTGAAATTTATATCGATACTCTTTATCTTAAGGATTACAATTAAATTATGTAGGACATTTCATTTGATTCGGTTTAATTTAGATAGAAGTGACATTAATTTTAGAACGATGATTTTATTTTTGTAGTAATATAAAGATAACAAAGTTAATGCTTAATAATTTTCTCTTCACAAGTTTGGAATAAAATTATTTAGGATTTTATTTGATCCGGAGTAACTTTCATTCAAAATTATCCTTAAATTTTGTAATTACTTTTATAAAAAAAAAACCAGTAAGTTAAATTATAATTTATATTAATATACTCTTATTTTCTCAGATTTAAAATACATTTATTTTTAGGATATCATTCGCGCGATCGAGATCTATTGAAATTAAAATAATTAATAATAAAATATTTAATAACAGTAAAAGAAAACAGATGATATTTCTTTCAGAAAAATGTTTATATGCTATAATTGAATTCTTATGTTTATTTGAACGTTGCATCCTCCTGTTTCACCTTCTCGTCATATTTTTCACATCCCTATAGAATTTTCTTTCCCAACCCGAGGTTACATATATCTGGAAAGTACACAACTAAATATTAAGATGTTGCAAATCATACATAGTTTGTATTTGTTCGGTTTTAATAGTTGTGCTTGAAGAATATTTTTATCTGTATACTCTCATTGTACATAAAACAATATTAAATTGTTATATACACATTATATATATATATATATATATCTAATAATGGTTACTTCTAATTCGTTTCTCCAAAGTTATAACTAAACGTTAACAATTTAACTTTGTATCCAATAATTAGAATTATAATTTGAAAGGAAAAATATATTTATATCGTTATCTATAATTATAATTTACTTATAGGAGTTGGATTATTATTCTTTTTTTTTTCTTCCTTTTGATATTATTTCTTTTCTTCATTATTTGAAGTATCTAAGAATTATTGAGGTACTCGTTGGAATATCTGACAATGTAGAAAAATCGTCGTCTGCTGCGTAGCTCGTTATACGACTCCGATGTATACATCACGTCTTCCTCTTTAGACTTTTTTTTTTTTCTTTCTCCTGTCGAATACTCTCGACTTGAATACTTCTGCAGTTCTATCCCCATCTCTCTCTTTTTCTCTCTCTCTCTCTCTCTCTCTCTCTTTCTCGTTTGCTCTCTTGGTCTTTCTATCTCTCATTTTTTTCCTACTCAAGAAGAGACTCGAACTTGAGGCTCGAAAACGTTCAAAAACTCTTTAGCAGAGCAGAGAAGAGCGTTCCGCGTAATCTGAATAGCTAGCAGTACTTGGAACGCAAGGTCGGCCAATCGTCAACGTCATCGAGTCCCCGGCAAGCTGCGGTGAAAGTTCCTTCTCTTGCATGAACCTGATATATAGGGTGAGTCAATAATTAAACTACAACTTGTCCCTAAAAAACCATGACCACATTTAGATTTTTAATACAAAAATATCATATACGATCTTAATGTTTTATTTTCTACCGAATGACGGATTCGAATGATTCTTTTAATTCGTCACATTCTTTCTTACAATTAGATTGATTTATATATATATATATATTTATATATTTTTTTGTTTGTTTGCAGATAAGATTATATGGCAGAAAACTTTTGACTTCTACCTTGTGTGTTAATGTACAATTTTGTTTAGAATAATTTTATTAATTGGATTGATTTATATAGGGAATAGTGATCGATTATCACACATCTGGTATATGGATATATATATATATTATATTTACAAAAAATTATATTTTCTATTGTTATTAATAATAATTTTTATAGATAATTGAGTTAGTTATTGATTCTCACCCTGTATATGTCTCATGGAATGAGAATTCACGTTTACCAAGCCCACAAACTTGCCATTCTTAGAACGAAAGTCTTTGGATCTCCGTTATATATCCATCCTATCTATCTATATAGATATATTTGTGTATATGTGTTAAGGATTGAGTAGGAAATTCAATCGATAGAATGTAAGTACTTTTCTTTTTAACTTTGTACGTGATTAGATTTTCAAAGCTGCAGCAACGTTATATATATACACGTTTAAATAGAATTTAAGTCTATAAAGTTAAAAAAATATTAATTTACATACACAAATGATATTGTATAAATAATAATAGTAATCGTTATAAAATATACGAGTAGTAGAAAGAGAAATGTCAAAGTTCGAGTCTTCTTTCTCATCCAATTGCAATCCTTTAGTTCTGCATTCCATTCTATGAATGTAAGAAGTAGAAAATATAGTTAGAAATTATTCTTCTCAGTTTATTATTTACATTTTTATCTTATGGATCAGAGAGGAATTCTTATTTCTAGAAGAAGATATATATCTATTGTTGTATTACATCGTCCAATTCCAGACACGATTCATTACGACTTCACTCGTCCTCATTCCTTTGTTAGCTCAATCAACCGAAGTGTTGCCTTCGTTGTACCTACTATTCCAAATAGGTTCGTGATTGTCGACATTATTGTGTTGGGACCTCCAAACAGCCAACGTGCTCGGTTTCTTGTAGATATGTATATACTTAACTCTGTAGTATACACTAAACTCTGGTCTTATGCTAAGGAGACCATTTGATTATAACAAATTAATGTGTTTTTTTTTTTTTTTAAATATATTCTCTTACGAAAAAACATTTAATTATTATTACACATTTATTTTAATTTATATATACATACAAATATAAATTATATTTATTGTTAGTATTTATTATATTTATTTTAATTATCCGTATAATAATTAATTTAAGATTAATTTTAATAGTTTAGATTTTTATTGATCCAAATAAAAATGATTAATCCTCTATCTATTATATTCTTATATTTATAAGACTAACCAAGTAGTTAGAGGATCATTTATTTTTATCTAATAAAATAAGATTTACCAAATGCATGAGTGCACGGGGACGTATGAATGCATCATTGACTGTAGAAATGTAGTATCTAAGCAGGAAAGAGAGAGATAGAAATAATAGCTGTTTTCTACGTTATCTTTAGTCAATGTTCCTCCTCCTTCTTCCTCCTCCTTCTCCTCCTCTTTCTCCTCCTCCTCCTTCCTCCTCCTTCTCCTCCTCTTTCTCCTCCTCCTCCTCCTACTCCTTTTTCTTCTTCTTTCTTCTTCTTTCTTCTTCGTGTTCGTCGAGATTCTCGATTCGTTCGAACATGGACGATCCGTTAGCACATCCTCCATACGGGTCATCGACCATATATATTCTACTGCTTCCCGTCCTCGTAGTAGTAGTCTTTCTTTGCAATTCATAAGAAATATTTTCTTTATATCTTATTTTTATGCTTTGTCATGGAAAAAAAAAAACCAAAACAATTCCATACTTGCAATGTCTTTTCATAAGTTGAAATATTATTTAACCATTTTCATCATCATCTTTATCTTTTTATGTCTCTTTATAATTTTTATCTAATATAATAAAAATAATTTGGTAATATCGAATCGTGATTGTAATCGAATATCGATTATTAATAAAATTCAACATTTCTCTCTATATATATGTATATCTCCATGTCTCTGGTAGAATCCGTAATCTGGACCGAAATTGTAGACCACAAGAATCTCTGTCACGTATGTAGGTATATCTCTAGTTATATATATATATATATATATATCTATTTAATGCATATATGTATGTATGTGTATATATATACGTATATATATATATATATATATGCATATGTCCAGCCTATTAATTTGTCGCCATAGATAGTTCCGTTCGACTGGTTAATTAATTACTCGTCCTTTGTTGAACAGAGATAGAGGTAGAAATAGAGAGAGAGAGAGATAGAGAGAGAGAGAGAGAGATAGAGAGAGAGAGAGAGAGAGAGAGAGAGAGAAGCTTTCGACGAAGTAATGTCAATACGGTCGCCGGTCTTGAAACCACACGATTTCTATGCGAGCCAACGAGACGATGTTTCTTTTTCATCCTGTTTTCTGGCCATACTAACTGAACAGATCTTTGCTTCTAGTTTGAATTTTCCAACCGGTAAATATATGATCCATATATGTGTGTAGATTATATATGCTTTCATTTATACATGCTGGTACGTTTGTATTTATTTTTATGTTATGGGTTTCATATATACATTTGTGTGTGTGTGTTTGCGTTTGTGAGTAGATTCTTCATGCTTCCTTAAATGATTTTCTAAGCCACCTTTTATCATCATCTTCGTCAGTATCTCCTATTTCTATCCTCTATCACTATCTATCTCCATTTCTAAACAATTTTTCATTAAAATTCTAGCACGACAAAGAACAAGAAAATATGACCCTCGATCTCAAATATCTTTCGGTCTTATCGTTCCTAGCATATCTCTTCCTCTTCTCTATCTTTCTCTCTTTCTGAGATAGTTCATGGAAACCAGGAAATAATATTCAGGGTGGGGCCATAAATTGTGTTAAATCCTTTT